ACAAGTGAACAGATATGATGTTGATGGGGGGAGGGGGAGAGGGAGAGAGAAAGGAAGAATTGGTAAAGGGACACAAAAATCAATGACATTGTATATTGATAATTTTTTTTTTAAGGCACCATTAAGAAAATGAATAGGCAAGCCATAGATTTAGAAGATAATATTTGTAAGGTGCGTATATCTGTCAGACTTGTATCCAGAATATATAAATAAACAATAAAAAGACAATCCAATGAAAATGCAAAACTTGAAAAGAAATTTCACAAAAGAAAATACATAAATGGACAATTAGCATATAAAAAAGTGTTCGGTATCATTAATCATCAGAAATACGAATTAAAACCACAAAAGGATACCATTCCCACAGACTAGAATAGCTAGAGTGACAACCAAACAGAATGGTTACTATTTAACCCACTAGCATGGCTAAAGCAAACAAAAACTAACTAAATAAAGGTTAGTGAGAATGTGGAGCATTCTCATATATTGATGGAGGTTTTAAATGATACCCCCACAGACTAGAATAGCTAGAGTGACAACCAAACAGAATGGTTACTATTTAACCCACTAGCGTGGCTAAAGCAAACAAAAACTAACTAAATAAAGGTTAGTGAGAATGTGGAGCATTCTCATATATTGATGGAGGTTTTAAATGATACACTTGGGGAAACTCTTTAGCTTTTATTTTATATATATAAAATTAAACCTATATTTCTCCTGTAACACAGAAATCCCACTCCTAGGTACCACTGAAGAAATAAAATCATATATATACAAAAAAATGTGTACAAGAATGTTTTAGCAACTTAATTTATAATAGCCCCAAACTGGAAACAACCCAAATAGGAAAATGGAATAGCAAGTTCTGTTATGTTTAAACAAAGGAATACTACTCAACAATAAGAAGAGACACGTTACTATAGCATGCAACAATGTAGAGTCCTCAAAGCATGTTAAGCAAAAGAAGCTAAACACAGAAGTTATGTACTTCATTTATATGAAGTTCAAGACTGGGAAAAACTGTGCATGGTTATAGGAATTAGTGATTGCTTCTGGGTTGGGGAGTGGGAATTGGCTAGAAAAGGATACAAGGGAACCTTCTGGGATGATTGAAATGTTGTATATCTTGGACGGTGGTTGCATCGGTGCATACAGTTGTCAGAACTCATCATGCTGAACAAGATCTGTGGATTTTATTGAACCTAACTCCATAAAAAAAAAATTATATCTGGGGCGGAATTCAGTAAACAAAAAAATTGTATATGGGGTAGAATTCACCTCATCTGAAAAATACGAAAATCTATGAAAGCATCATGGGAAACAGCCATAAAAATATTTTATAAAAAACAATTGAGGATTACAGCACAATAGAGTAATAGTAGGATAATGATATCTTTAATATTAAAATTAATATTTTAATATCTTTAAGTGGTAGAAGAATAATGAACATAAGTAGAAAAGTCAGTGTGTCAGCTTTTTTAGCCAACGTTTTATTTCTCCTGTTAACATTTTTTTATCAAGGTGAAATTTACATATCATTAAATTCACAGATCTTGAGTATACAATTCACTGAGTTTTAACAAATGTATATAGCTCTGTGTATCAAACACAGGTCTAATATATTGGTCATGTTCTTTCCTTGCTATTCCTATCAGATCACTGAGATAAGTACAAAATGCTTTTGCTCTCCATAGCTACCATAAAAACAACAACGAAACTCAGCCTTTTTAGAACCATTAAGGATGGTAATTGTGACAGCTAAGTTCGTTGATATCTAGCACTCTTCTGGGAACCCTAGGCCCAAATTGTGAAAAGTCCTGAGGCAGCTAGTGTTTAGAGTTTTCTGATATAAATTCCATAATTAGTACTAGTAGTGCATAATAATTATATCTTGGGTGGGACATCCCAATAACTAATTAACCGGTATAAAGTTATAAAGAATGATCTCATTTTGGCTGCCCTTTTGTTTCTGGTTGTCCAAATACTTACAGTACCTGTGTTTTAAATATTTCAGTGACAACATAATCTAGTAGTTCATAATAATAATGGCAGATCCTTTATATCTCATACTTCATCCTGAAAGAACCCTTAGTAAGTACTTTCTAGACTGTTTATAATAGGTAAAAAATCAATAAAGTGCAGGTACCTTTCTGGTAGCATATGCTTTAAACAAGGTGACGAAGCAAGCTACAATTTGTGAAAAATATTGAAGAAGAATGTCATATCTATTTGAAATTATAGAGAGAACATTGATTTTTTTTTTTTAGACAGAAAAATCAATGCCCAAATTTTAGTTTTGTTAATGTACAAGGTTTGACCTTACAAAATATACAGTGGCATTTGGGCTGATCATGACAGAATCTTAGAACATGGCTTTGTCTTGTTTATTAGTGATGTTAAATATCTCTAAGGAGTCAGTAAATATTAGAAGCAGTTGTAAATTATTATAGAAGTGGTTATGACATCTATTTCTTTACAATTTGTTTGCATTCTAAATCCTTTCCCTTTTCTAGTCAAATCTATCCCTCTCACTTTTTCTTCCTCTTTTTCTAAAGGCTCTGGTAAGTAGCACCATCCTTGCTGAGTGGAAAGAATGGTGACTTCTCAATTAGTTGCTCAGTCTTCTCTCAAATTTCAGTGTTCTTTACTCTTCTGGGAGACTGATGAGTAGGCCAAATCCTTCAAAGTTTGGGGATGGCAGAATGGGAATTCTTAGGTAGATTCTAGTATCACTTTTAAGCATCTTCAGACATTAAAAGTTAGAGGACCTTGATAAAACTTTGAGGGAAAGAAAACTTAGGGAAGTAAGGTTATGCCTTTTGTGTACCAATAGGGCAGACATATAAAAATGCATTGTTTACTGCAGACATTTAGTGGGATAATAAATAAAGGTAGATTTTCAATTTTCCCTCTATGTATAGTAGTTATAGAGAGACATTTTTTTTTAACCAACGCAAATGACCAAAAAAAGAGAGAAGCCTCAGTATTTTTTAACTGAGGCAAAAAAATACACATGCACACACAGAGTTATTTTCTGAAAGCTAGAAAATTGTTTTCAAGGAGAAATGTAGTCTACAGTTGCAGTGTTTAGACATTTGGCAATTGGATAAAATAATTTTCTGGTGAAAATAGGAAAACAGATTGACATAAATGTACATTAGGGTAGTGACTTTCATTTCTTGTACATACACAGTGAAATAGTTCTGGGCAATAAATTCTTGGAAAAGCAGAGTAGGGATTGGGTAAATGTCATAGTTTATGACTGAATTCATATGAACAGGTGAAAACTTAAAGATGGAGAGGTAATAGTTACCACCTGATAAAGAGACTTAAAACCCTTTCACCCTACAAAAAAGATTGCTTTAGAGTTGTAACTTGATATTATAGATTGATTTTTTTTTTAAAAGATATTGATTACATATGTCGTTACTGTGGATACACAAAAGAAAGTATGAAATGCCTTTTGTTCACCAATAAAAAGAAACATTTTTCATTTAAAACCTTAACTGTTAAAAAAAAGTTTTTTGATACTATAGATTCTAGAACTAATATCAACATTATTGAAAAGGTGACACAGCCACAATTTCTGCCATGGTTGTCTTAATAATAAAGAATAGCTAATGATGCAGAATTACATAACTATATCAAGTCAGCCACTAAGCTAAAGTTTAGTTCTACCACGTAGGCAACATATGAGCCTTTAGTCTTTTGTTTTATCCCCTAGATCCATCCTATGCTGTCTGTTCCACCTCTAAATTTCAGGTTTTTCATTCCTTTTATTTCCTCTTATCTAAGCCTCACCCTTCCCCCTCACAGCAATTCTTCTGTGACAGATTACTGCAGCCCACTTTGATTTTCCCTTTTCTCTGAATTTCTGTAGCACATGTACTGACTTAAGACCTCTTTTCTGCTGTTTAACTTTTTGTAGACACTCCTTGAGGCCAAAACAATTTGCTGTATTTCTTTGTACGCATTAGTTAGCAATACTGGATGATCAGTAAGCATTATGGAAAACAAACTTCAGGGGAGTTCAGGAAAACAAACAATAGTATGATAATGGGTGTTCAGAGGAAGTGGATCATGAATGAGGACCTAAACTAAAGAAAGACTAGGTCTTGGGGAAGATAAGAAAGAGAACATTCCACACTGAGATCACAGAGTGATATGAGCCCAAATGTGCATAGCCTAGTGACAAACTGTAGGTGACAGTGAATATTGGATGAATGAACTAGTGAACAAATGAGAATATTTTGAGTAGAGTAGCGTGGCCAACTTTACTGGACTGTTCCATTTAGGTCATCTATCCCTCACATATTTTTGAGTTCTCTAGGGTACAAAGATGAAAAAATGGTGCTTATTTTCAGGAGCAAATTCTAATGGGGCAGACAGAAATGTAAAAAAATCATTAAATGTTACTTGCAGTAAAAGGTGTGCACAGTGCCTATGGGAACACAAAAGAGGAAGCTGCAGAGAATTGTGTAGGATAGGCCAAATTCTCTAAGGCCTTAAATGCCAGACTCAATTGTTTTGATATTATTTTGGTTATTATTAAGGTAAGATACTGTATCAGAACACTTTGTGAAGGTTAAGGACAGCACTGATCCTTCCTAGGATTTCCTTGTGACTCTTAGTATTAGGCACCTCTGAGAGTTTTCTTGACATTGCCCACATAATTATACTTCAGGTTCAACTGAAAGCAAGTCAGGATGTGATTGGGACAGTCAGCAATCTCTGTTTGGAAATACCATTAAAATAATACTTTAATGTTAACATTTCATAAATATCAAATCGAGATGCCGTAATTATTGCAGAGAGCTGAAAAATCTACCTAATTTGAAAGAATCGTGTTTACTTTGATGGTGATAATTGAGTATATTTGAAATCTGAAAAGAAGGAACAAGGAAACAAGTATCAGATTGAATTTTGCTGAGTTTTTAAAGGTATTTTCAAAGATCTATAACTAAACTTAAGTATTTCTGTCCCAAATTATTTATTTCCAGTCATTTGATTCTTCAAAAATCACAAGGAAGAAAAGAATTATAACTTACTCTCCAACAACTGGAACTTGTCAGATGAGCCCATTTGCTTCTCCCACAAGCTCTAAAGAACAAGAGCACAGAAATGGACCATCAAATGGTTAGTTGAACATTCTTTTCCACTTACTATAAGATTTTTCTATTTATTGGTTAAATCAAGATTTTGATTTAATAATATATGGATCTTGCTGCAGCTGATTTTTCTTTTCTCTCAAAGAATTTAACATAGAAAAGGCTAGAGTGTAGTTATTACTTTGGATATAAATGTAAACTTTCTAGGCACTTACTTTAAAATGCTCCTGCAGGCTTTGTTCCCTTACTGTCCCATCCATTAAATAGAAATTATGGCTTGACTGCCTTCAGCTACTATCAATTATAATAGTTACAGATATACCCCTTAACAAGCTATCCATCATGTGCATAAATTAAAGGGCACATAACTCAGGTACTGCTGCACTCCAGTTTAAAAGTGATACTTCTAAATATTATTTTTATCCATGTTGTTCATTTAGTTTTATCCACATTTAGTGTATCTTTATATAACTTGCCTTTGTTATATTTCATTCCCTTCTTTTTCTTTATTATTTCAAATGCATTTGCAAAAGGTTTATAAAATTTTCCAGAGAAACACCTAATTTTAATAAGTTTTTTATTCATTTTGATAATATATATTTGTTGTTTTCTGGTAGTTTATTGCTAAAAATTTATTTAAAAACTCAAATTTCAATTTCATAGGTTTACTTTTTCTGTGTTGAGAAAGGTTATGAATCAGTGACATGTCAGTTTCTACAATATAAAATTTTAAATAGGCTGAAATTTAATAAAATGTACTTTAGATATGCTGTGATTAGCCTAATTCATATTTTATTGTTTAACATTAATTCAGTGCTAACCGTATACTAGAAGCTACACAGAAACAGTCTCCTCATTTTACCTAATTTGTTGTACTGAAACACATGAGATCTTAAACTTTTGAATGTCTTTGACTTTACTTTAACCAAATGCTTTTTAGTCTTAAAGCTATTTCTATTAGGTTTACTTGCACAAAAATGTATGAAGATGTATACATTTTCTTCAAGTTCCATAGTTCTGGTTTTTTATAGTTCTGGTGAGTGCTTTAGAGATTGCACCTCACTATACTGAATGTGAATAAATTTTAAGTTAATATTTACTCAGCTTCCATGTTGAAATTAAGTATGGACTTAAGGGAACATTCCTTTGCCCATAAAAAGATTGTTCACATGATTTCAGTTGACATTCAAGTGGATAATTATTACAGATTATAGTACTAAGTAAGCTCTTTTTTAAAACGTTAGTTATCAAGGATTTCCGAGGTCTGGCAATATTCTATTTTTTGACCTGTGTGGTGGTTACACCGATTCACTCTAGTTATTCATTAAACTGTACATGTATGTTTTACATACTTTGTAATATGTATATCTCACATATAGAAGTCTCAAAACAGGAGAATCCTTATCAGATTATATCCTTTGTAAACATTACATTGCTCATCCTAATATGTCATTTTGTACAGGTTTTACAAGTAAGAAAGTCTGACTCTTATGAAGTAACTTAAGTTCATATAAATAAAATATGACTTAACAAAGTCATTTAAGTTCCAAATGAGGTAATAACCTCTATTAACAACTCGCACTTTTAAAGACTTGTACAAAACATAATGTAAAATGTAAATAACATTTTCAAAGACATTTTAGATGTTACTCACTTTCCTTCAAACTTAGGATAAGATGAAAAACCCTATCATGACTTTTAAGACCATACATTCATCTAATACCTGACCATCTCATCAGCCTCATTTTCTACTACTCTTCCCATGTTTACACTACTTTAGCCACTTTTACCTTCTTGCTATTTGTCAATCATGCTGAACCCCTTCCTGCCACAGTCATTGCACTTGCAGTTCTCTCCACATGGAGTATACTTCCTTCAGATATGTATATGTACTTTCTGTATACATTGAACCATGTACTATGTGAACAGAAGACTTAATATTAGATTTAAATCCATTTGTAGTTATAAAAGGAGGAAAAATCTGGTTCTGTGTCTCTCCTCTACTTAGATTCTACATTGGCCAAAAACTGGGATGATTTGTTTCAACTCTTCAGTTTATACATTTAATAGATAGATATATATACATTTAAGAGATAGATATATGGGTTTGTATATATGTGTGTGTGATTATTTCATTTATATATCGTATTTATGTACATGTGCATATGTGTGTATATCATTATATTGCTTCCCTCCCCCAATCCTTAGCAAATTTCTCCAAACTATTAGGCATTTTAGAAAAGAGAGAAAGAATGGTAAATTTTCCTCTTTACTCCCAAGCATACTTTGGACTTGTTATTTAATAATGAGGGTAGAAGGATAAACAACAAATTTGCATAGTCAAAGAGAGTACTCGTTAACTGGATAGTAGATTTGTGGAAATCACCCAGACTGTAGTACAGAGAGATAAAGAGATGGAGAATGAGATAAAACAGTAAAGAGAAATGATGGTCAGAATGAGAAACTCCAACATCTCTCAAATAGGCATTCCAAAAGGAGGAACTGGAGAGAATGGGCAGAGGCAGTATTCTAAGATAATTCTTTTCATAATTAAGGAACAATAGGAATTTCCAAATTAAAATAGCATGCTTAGTCTGGGCAAGGTAAATTAAATTCACACCTGGTCATATCATGGTAAAACTGCAGAACAGTGAAGACTAAAAGAAAATTTTAAAGTCAGCCAGAGAAAAGACAGATTGATTAGTAGACTTATCAGTATCAATTCTTGCAGCAGGAATTGGAATAATAAATACCATCTAAGAATCACAGTTGAATTTTTATTCAGGAAGTGAGAATGAATTAAAGATATTTTTCAGTCTCAGAGAGTTTGCCATTCACAGGTCCTCATGAACTACTAAAGAATTCACTTTCGTAAGAAGCAAATTGAACCTCAAGTAGAGGAGTAGAATGCAAAGAGCAGTGGTGAAAAAAATAAATTAACAATCATGTTGGCAAATCTTATTGTAAGTTTAATTACAAAATCTAATTACAAATTTTGATGACTATAAAGCAAAAATTAAACAATTTTAGAGGTTGTTAAAAACAAATAATAGACCATACTAGCATGTAAAACAGGGAAGGAGCAAGTAGGAGTTAAAGTGTTTTAAGATCCTTGTAGTTTTAGGCAGATGATGGGGTATGTATCAGTTGGCTTGTTAACTGAGTTTTGTTTACTTGCCTGTAAAATGGGAAAAATAGTAATTTTTACCTACCTCAGAATCATTGTGAAAATTATGAATTAATACACAAAAGGCACTTAAAACAGTGCCTGGTATATAGTATATGCGCAGTACATATTTTAACTACTTTTATTATTGTTATTATTGACACTTTAAGAAAAGACAGGGCAATTAAATATAAAGGGATAGAAAAATAAAACACAGCAAATACTAGGTTTTACAAAAAGCTGGTAGTTGATATAAGAATATTAATATTAATACAGGCCTTAAAAACCGACTTTAAGGCAAAAAGCCTATATTGAAAATAATAGAAACTTTACATAGAGAAAAATATTCACCACTGGAAAAATAAAAGAATACTGAGACATATCTGCATCTAAAACAAAAACTCAAACAAAACATGATGAAATATGACAGGATAATAAGGAAAAACTGATAAAGTCCCAGTCATAGTAGAATATTTAAAACTACCTCTTTCAGAAACTGATGAAGCAGATAAAAGGTTAAGAAGGATATAGACAATTTGAGCACAATTAGCAAGCTTGATCTGATGAGCAGTAGTCAGACAGGTATAATGTGCCACTTACAATAAAACACACATAGAACTTTCACAGAAATATAAGCAATTTGGAATCATAGAGGAAGTCTCACTGTACAAAAAATAGCTGTTATGCAGGTCACACGTTCTGACCAAAATTTTATATAATTAGAAATCAATAATAAAAGGGCAGTCTTCCAAAAATTTTAGCCCACGTGTTTGGAAACCAAGAGACTTCTAATTAGTTAATTGATCAGAAAAATCATAATAGAAAGTATAAAATATTTAGAATTTAATGATAATGAAACATGTAGGCACTTAGAGGAAAAACTTATACCTAAATTCTACTAATGCAGTTCTTAGTGGAAAATTTATACTTACAAATGCATATATTTAAAAGGAAGAATGATTAAAAACTAATGAGTCAAGCATTCAACTTGGAAACACTGAAAAGGAATTTATAGAGTAAACCCAAAAAGTAAAAGAAAGAAAATAGTAAAATATGAATAGAAATTATTAAACAGAAAATAGGGCAATAATAAAAGCAACAAAATCAAAAGCTGGTTCTTGAAGGTCTAATAAAATGGTAGGCCTCTGCCAAGACTGTTTTTTTTCTAGCAACAAAATCAAAAGCTGGTTCTTGAAGGTCTAATAAAATGGTAGGCCTCTGCCAAGACTTTTTTTTCTTTTTTTTCAAGTGGGAGAAGAAACAAACAATATGTATTCCATAAGAGCTGATAAACTACTGTCTGCAAAAAATTTAAATCTGTGGCAAGCAGTTTGAAATATGCAAACCAAGTGCTTCTTAATGTGGTCCACAATCTAATGTGGGTGAAAGATTATTTTTATTAGCATATTTATTGTTACAAGCCATACTTATTCTTTATGCCCTTATATTTTTTTGTTGTTTCTCAAATATTACTATATTACAAATATTTTAGTAGGTAAAAAGCAATTCCAGTTTTCTCCTTGGTACCTTCTTATTCAGTAATTAGGTAATATTTTAAGAATATTACATTTCTTCCTATGGGAGTTAATAAAGGTATTTTCATTTTTAATAAAAAAAAAGAACCATTAAAATTGTTACTTTATGTGAGTTGATCATGGTTCTTCACTCTCCACTCTTGTTTAATAATATTAATTAGGTTAATTAAAAGAATAAGTGGATCATATTAGGATCCCATTCACCTCTTAGCCTACAAGCCCCAACTTGATCTGTAAGTAACTTTTTTTTTTATGGCTGGCCTGTATGAGATCCGAACCCTTGACCTTGCTGTTACTCTGCAAGTAACTCTTTTAAAAAAAAAAAGTTACTTGTGTGTCCTTAGACAAATCACTTGAACTTCTGTGGGTCGTCAAGCCTTTCCCCAACTCTTAAGAGGTTTGAGATTAAAATGATGCCTGTGATATTTGCCAACTGTAAAGCATATCTATCTAGAAGTATTATGATACCAGCCTAAACCTGTTTGGACTTTAATCTATTAATAAATAATCATAGCATCATGGTTAAGAGTAGAGTCTTTACAGCCAGATGGCTGGGTTGGATTCTCACTCTGCCACTCATTAACTTTATGGACTTGGATAAGTTATGTAACCATTCTTTGCCTCTGTCTTATCTGTAAAATGGAAACAAGAGTGACTACTTCAGAATTGTTGTGCAAATTAATTATTGTCTGTAACATGTTTAAAATAGTGCCTGGCTCTAATAAATACTGTGTAAGTGTTAGCCATTATCAACATCATCATTGGTTGTACTTCCAAACATAATCCATTGAGAGCTATCTTCATTAGTTAGGGAAAAGGATCCCTGGAGACTTACCAGAAAGTTCAGATACAGTTCTGAATACAGTCCAGATTCAGTGATGGTACATTTATCATCAATGTTTTGTGAAACTGCACTTAAAGAAAGTCAAATACACAACCGTTTGTTAACATTATATATATAACCTAGCAAGAAAAATGCCATATAGACTTCACAGCCCTTTAGTATATGCTCATTGTGTTTATTTTTTTAATAGAATGGAATGAAATAAAGGAAAGTAATTATAAAGCAACTGGAAAACTTTTAATGATTTGTTACTCAATAGTCTTTGATAACTGATCCAGGTGTTATTCTTCGATACAGTAAAACTCCTATTTAATAATTGAAAGTATTTAAAAACGTAAGTTCTTACATGGAAGATTGAGATTAATGTTATTGATCTACATTTTATAGGGTGAGGTGTCTGACTAGATCTTTTACAATAATAAAAATGTTTAGAAAGGCATTTGGATATTCAAATAAAGCACTTTTTACTGTTTCTCACCTACCATTACTTACTACTGGTGCTGAAATGTGAAAATGAATTATAAGTTAAAGGAGCAAAGTAATTTTCATATTTAATTTTGGAAATTTGCTGAATGCAGACAGGAAAGAACAAAATTCAGGAAATTAGTATTAATCTTCAGATAAAGATTTTCTGAAATAAAGGTTAAATGTATATCTATGGTTTTCATTTGTGGTTTTCTATGATATAGGAGCATTTTCAGTTTTGGGGGGGGGTTTGGTTTTTTTAGAGAGAAACAGATTTTAATGGACTTCCCCAAAGTTCTCTAAAATCATAAATAAAATATTATTACTCTTTTCCCCTTACATCCTTTACTAAATAGGCTTTTAGCAATATTAATTTATTCTGTTTAGAATTTAATAGGATAGGGTACAGACTAGTCAAATAATGAAAAGTTAATAAATAAGAAAAATAACTAGTACTTAAGAAAAATTTCTAAATCATAAGTTTTTTTTCTCCTTGCCATTAGAGAATGTTTTGAGCTAACAGTTTAATTATGATAGGATTTTTTTTTTTTTTTTTTTGAGGGAGGAAGGCATAAGGGACAAAGTAACAATGAGGGAAATTGTTGTTAATCAGTTTCTGCTTCAGTTTATCCAATAATATTATAAGTACCAGAGAATAGAAAATATACTTTAAATAAGCTTTTCTCCTAGTAATAGGAGCAAATAAGAATAATGGAATAAAAATTAAATGAAGGGAAAAAATGTAAAGTAGCACTGGAAAGTCTGTTCCAGATAATAGTGTATTTCTGAATATGTTAATAAGTTACAATTGAAAAATTAAATTGCTTTCATATTATCTGTGTATTTGGTTTCATCTGGAAGCATTGGATCCTCCTTTCAGAATTACCAAGAGCTATAATATCCAGTACATGTGGATATTGAGCATTTGGAATGTGGCTAGTCTGAATTGAGATATACTGTAAGTGTAAAATATACACCACATTTTAAGACTTAGTGTGAAAAAGAATATAAATTATCTCATTAATAACTTTATATTGATTACACGTTAAAGTATGTTTTAGAAATACTGAGTTAAAATATTAAGATTTATTTATCTGTTTTTTCTTTTTTAAAATTTTGCTACTAGATTTAAAATTACATAAGTGGTTCACAGTGTATTTCTGTTGGAGAGTGCAAGCTACAGTTTTCATGATACATTTTACCAAAAGTTGTTTGATATAATAATAAGAACATTAAATAATAATTCAGTGCCAGTTGTTGAAAAAATGGAACTACATGAAAATATGTAGTGTGAGGAGGATGCCACCCTTTATGCATTTCTAAAAGTGGTTTCTGTTGTTTTTCATTAGTAGTAAAGAGTTTGGAGTGTTCATTCATTTGCTTGTTTGTTCATTCAGTGAACCTTTATCAAAAGCCAATATATGTTAAGACACTGAAAATCTTAACTGTACTAATATATGTCCTCGGATACTTGCTTATTTTACCTCAAACATGTTAAAGTATTATAGAGTACAAAGTACTCTAGAACAAACAATTAAATAGTCAGCTCATAAAACAATTGTCTGCTTGACCACTAAGTGCAAACATCATTTTCTACTAGAGCTGTAAAATCGAATTTACATTTCAACCCATTTGAAGGATTATGATTTAGTTACAACCTGTGTCTTCACTTGTGCCTCTGTCAACTTGTGAAATGTAAAAGTTTAGATAAGCCATTGTCTTAGATAACTACATAGCATTTTAAACAGAATGTGACCATTTATTTCTTTTATTATTACCTAAAAAAATACTTTAATGAATGATATATTTCAGTAGGCACGATAAAGAACTTTCCAAGGATTTACTAAATAAATAAGCATTTAAAGATTTGGGTACTCAAAAAATTAGAAATTAAACAACCACATATCCAGCAATCCCACTACTGGGTATATATCCAAAGAATATGAAATCAGTATGTCAAAGAGATGTCTGCATTTCCATGTTCATTGTAGCATTACTCACAGTAGCCAAGATATGAAATCAACCTAAGTGTCCACCCATGGATGAATGGATAAAGAAAATGTGGTATATATACACAGTGGAATATTGTTCAGCCTTTATAAATAGGGAAATCCTGCCGTTTGCAACAACGTGGATGAACCTGGAAGATATTATGTTAAGTGAAATAAGCCAGGCACAGAAAGACAAACACTACATGATCTCACTCATTTTTTTTTTTTTTTTACTGACTGGTAATGGGATCGCAACCCTCAGTGTCGCGCCCATACCGGGGACCGGCAACGGGATCGCAACCCTCGGTGTTGCACCCGCACCGCGCTCAGCCAGCGAGCGGGAACCGATCTCCACATGGGATCCGAACCCTCGGCGGGAGTGCCGCCACGCTCCCAAGTGGCACACTCTCCAGTGCACCACCGGGCCGGCCCGTCACTCATATTTGGAATCTAAAAAAGTCAAACTTATAGAACAGAGAGTAGAATGGTAGTTACTACGGCTGGTAGTAGGGAAGGAAGGGCAATGGGAGATGTTGGCCAAAGGTAAAAAAATTTCAGTTAGCTAGGAGAAAAAAGTTCAGGAGATCTGTTGTATAATATGGTGGCTACAGTGAATAACAATGTATTGTATACTTGAAAATTGCTGCGAGTGTAGATTTTAAGTGTTTTCACCACCAAAAAATAAGTATGCGAAGTAATAAATATAATTAGCTTGATGTAGCCATTCTGTGATGTATAAATATATCAAAACTTAATGTTGTACACTATAAATACATATAATTTTTATTTGCCAATTAAAAAAATAAAGTGTCAGGCACTTTTACCCCTAAAATCAAATTTATTTTACTGTGGTATCACAAGGAACTTAACTGTTTTCTAGGCATTAGTGTTATGAATCCCTTGTTGTTAACTTTGACAAAAAAAAAAAAAAGTTGAAATAATGCAAACTGGATGATTTCTCCCTTAATTTTTTGTTCTTTTCTTTATTGCATGCATATAGGAAAGAGAAAAAAATTGAATTACCTCAGTTTAACTGAAAGAGAGGAATCTACAACAAAAGAGGATGATGAGTAAGTTTGTTGTTTTTGAAATTATGTACACGTGTCCTGCAGGAAAAGGGTCTTACTTGTTAAAGTGTTAATATAAGAGAAATCACCTATTTGTAGAAATTAATAATTTATACCTGAGCTGAAGTATTCTTTCCTAAAAAAGTAAAATAACCTTATTTGTGATGTGTTGTGCAGTGCTCAGATAATGGTGACGTACTAATGCCTTCATTTTAATACTTACTGAGCCCAGTTCTCTCAGCCTATGCATAATAGTCCAGCTTAGGGTAAAACTGAGGAAAAGGCCCATTTCAGATTTACATGCATGAAGAAGTACTACATTGTCTGGGAATGTAATGTCTTGCAAATAGCTGGTTCAGGACAGAGTTAGGAACACAGTGAAGCCAGCAGACTAAGGGATCTAGAGGAACCTAGAAGGCTTTGCATGTCAGCAGCCAACCATTTTCATATTGGCCTGCCAGGCCAATATGAATGAAGGCATTATCTGCAGAAAGCTGTTGCCTGTGTATCCTGGAAAGAATATTTATATCTTTTTCCTGGAAGGATTGAATTAAGCAGAACAGGGGCTTACATTTTCAAAGTATTTCATATGTTCAGCTCATTTACCATTTCAGTATATATTCTGTGTGCCACACTCTACGATGGATATTGAAGGGTAAAGATGAGGAAAATGAAGTTTCTTCCCATTGGAAGCTTATGGTTTTACGTTGTAAGTTGATTACCTTCTTACTTTAGAAATAGATTATGTTTAAAAAACTTTTAAAAATCATTTGTGTGGAACTCAGAATGTGTTTTCCATACAAATAATGTGATATTTTGTGGTTGTAACCCCAGGTCAGGTCACAAGTCTATTTATAGTAATACACCACATAACAACATTTTGGTCAGTGATGGACTGCATGTACAATGTATGATGGTGGTCCCATAAGATTACAATGGAGCTGGAGGTATATAGTAGGCTGTACCATGTAGATTTGTGTAAGTATACTCTGTGATGTTCACACAATGAAATCACCTAACAATCCATGTCTCAGAAGGTATCCCTGTTGTTAAGCGACCCAAGACGACTATATTTCACAATGTAGCTGAACTATAGTATTAATTGGTAGTAGTCTGTATTAAAAGATATGGACACTATTTGCTATTTAGAGTACCATAGGGATAAAGGGAAGAGGTTGTCAAAGAAGCCTCACTGTTAGGCATCTCCTGTATCTATCACAATTCCACTCTATTTGCTTTTAGTAGCTGTTTTCCCTAGCCATTCTCCCCCAGCTCCAATTATTTTCATGTTTGTCTTCCTACCCTACAAATAGTTTTGCTGTAAATTACCACTTCTTCCTTCTCCTAATCAAAGCTCCCGTTTTCTTTTTTTTTTTTTTTTTTAAAGATGACCGGTAAGGGGATCTTAACCCTTGACTTGGTGTTGTCAGCACCACGCTCAGCCAGTGAGCGAACCGGCGATCTGTATATGGGATCCGAACCCGGGACCTTGGTGTTATCAGCACCGCACTCTCCTGAGTGAGCCACGGGCCGGCCCGAAAGCTCCCGTTTTCTCAGTGAAACCGATCTCAATTAGATATTAAGAGAAAAGCATTCTGGTTTTATTTGATTTTTTTTTAAATAGGCAATATATGTTCATAGTAAAAAACTGAAATTGTACAAAAGAATATACAGTGAAAGCAAGTAGCAAATAACAATTTATGAATTACAGATAATGTATTTGAAAGCAGATGCCTGCTAAACCAAATGAATTTCTTACACAGTTACATAAAGTATAAGTAGGCAATAAAGGAGGAAATGTTTTGGACAGAAGTGATACCGTGTAAGCAAGCAAACTTACCTGTTGCTTTCCCCCAAAATCAGCTCCACTTACTTTCTTTCCCCCTTCTGAACCCATCAATTTGCTTAGAACTCAGATATTTTTTACAATAGTTATCATGGTAGTTTGCTTTCAAGTAGCAAGAGAGGAGCAAGAAACTTTGTTATGGGTCATTTAGGAATTTGCCTGTATTTATTTAAATTATTGATTTCTCTCAATATTTGTTTCTAAAGATTCCTAGTATTTATATATATCACTCCATGATCCCTGGTGTTAGAATTAGTGAATTTAAGCTGAGATATTTTACAGAATATAAAAATGATGTATTTCTGATTGTTTTTTCCATTCATTATAAAATTACTCAGTCCTAGTTAGTAAAACCATTTTTTAGCTTTAGTAATGGGTTCTTTATTCCATTTGTTTAGATTTCTTTTATTTTGTTAAATCATTCTAAAGACTTAGATTTTTAAAATCCCAGATTAAACTGAACATTTCCCTTTTTTTTTTTTTTTTTTTGTCTTTTTTCGTGTCCGGCAACGGATCGCAACCCTCAGTGTCGCACCCGTACCAGAC